ATATAATCGAACTAGGGCTCATTAGCTACCTTAGCAAACTAATTATTCTAGAGCTACGAAAATTACAGAGAGCACATAACAAAACTATAAAACTACTGTATAAATTCCAAAGCTAGCACTATCATTATTTTATCACAAAAATTGCTACAAGTTCATGTCTTATTAAAACTACGCATTTCAAAATAATTCTGGCAACCCTACAAATAATACAAAACTATATGAACAAAATACACTAACAAGTAGACCATGATTTTAGGAACTTAACAAAATTAGTTTCATAATTTTTTGTCAGCTACATAAATTGATATTGAATTAACAAGTTTCTCTTAGAACTAAATTAGAAAATGCCCGAGAAAATGAAAAGGGCCGGTGGCCAAACGATTCGGCCCAGTGGCCCGACTTGGCCCACGTGGAACGCGACGCGCACGCAGCAAGCCAGCCCATGATGGGATCCCACGTCCCCGTGGCTATTTTGCAGAAAAAACCTTGATCTATTCATTTATTACGCAACCCCAAGCGCACTATTGCAGAAGAGACATGCTTTGCATCTAACACCCTCTAAAACCCGTCTTTACAACGGCTCTCCCCCTGCCGCGTATGCGTGGCGGCATAGGCCACCGACGGCCCACAGCGGTTACGTCGGTTAACCTAGCGACACTCCAATGAGACAGGGAGGCCGACCGGGCTCTATGGCCAAACATGCAAGGGCGGGTGGTGGTTGGGAGCTTAACGGTGCACTACCAAAGCCGGTCTCGGCAAAAATTAACGGCGGCGGCGACACTAAACCAATGAGTAGAGTAGAGGTGGCGGATGAGTATCAGTGGCTCATCGTGGTGCTCTATGGGCCAAAGTGCCGAAGAAGAGGACCGACCAACGCGTGTAGTGAGGTCGGTGGTTGGGTGACTTTGCGTCACCGTGCACTACCGAAAGCCGGGAGCTCGGGTGAAGGACGAGTCCAAAGACAACACCAATTGGAGCTCTAACCGAGGTGACCGGACGCGAGCGGGGCTCACCCACGGCGGCTAGTGAGTCAAAGCAAAGCGCGACAGGGAAACATCCCATTGCTTCTGTGGTCGGCCACCATCGCGACACGGCCACGTGGCTGCACGACGCAGGCGTGGTAGGTAGTAGGGGTGGCGGATGACGCCGACCAATCGATGGCTCATCGTGGTGTAGTGCAGCTGCGGCGGTTGCAACGGCATGGACAGGGAGGGAGCTCTGCGACATAAGCGAAGAGGAGCAAAGAGCACCATACCAACACTAGCGTCGCGGAATAGTGAGGTCGGCGGCGCGCGCACAACGTGTGACACCATTGCGACACCGCCACTGGCCGAAGCGGTCGAACTAATGTTGTGCTGAATTTTAAAGCTCGACCAAAACCAAGGCAATGTTGAGATCAAACCAATTTGCTAAGGCTCAAGAGGGTCCTAAAAGCTATCCAGGAACATCAAACACAAACTTAGATGAACTCTAAGAGAGGTAGAGACCGTCAAAACGCAAGCGGGCTCACCTTAAATTGAGCGGCTAGTGAGCGTCTAACGAAAGACAATTTTACGAGCAACGTGATCTCAACACAATCGACTTACACCAAGCTCATGTACTCACTTTGATGCAATCAACAATACAAAAACATGGACCTAGTGTTTAAATATTTTTTGTTAGAAATTAAATATCAAAATAACATTGTCTTACTACTTCTCCGTATTTAGAAACGTTAAGGATTCCAATTGAGGCTAAGTAACCATTAACTCTTTTATCGCAAATTTTTAATAGATCTAAACCTTGTCGATTTTAACTAACAAACCTATCGTGGCGTAGCCCGTACTTCGTACTAACTTATAGAAACAAAATATGTAGACATTGTTTAATTATTTTGTATCAAATAATCCTTCAAAATGGCATTTTTTAATCCTAAGTTATATTACGCTTCAGTTTATAAAAAATATTTTTCAAGCCAACAATTAAAACAACTTATTCAGTTTTTCATATTAGTAGGGATGAAAACGGATCGGATACGAACGGATATCACTCATATTATATTTGTTTTCATATTTCTGTTCGGATTCGGATTCGGACACGGATAGCGTTCGGATACATATACGAATACGGATTGACTTCGATTTACTGGATACTGAATAATGAGTATCGAATACTGTATGAATCGGATTCGGAGAAGGTCGGATACAAATATCTATTCGGAGTATATATATATATATATATATATATATATCATCACGCGCATAAACCATTACACCACTCTATGAGTCCATAATCCATCTAGATTAAGCCGAAAGACTAAAGAGTAAAGCAACAAATAAGATAAAGATACGATACATACATCATACATCAAACATCATACAAGGGCATGAGTAGAAATAGCCAAGCTCATGGCTTCATGGGTCTCATAGAGTCATGGTCATGGATTCAAGATCTACAATCCTTATATAGGCCATTTTTTCATTTGAGAAAGTTTGAGCAAAATGTAGTTCAAATTTCACAAGTATGTGACATAGTTTTAAAAAGTCTATATGAGATTCAAGAAATTTGTGACTAGTGTTTGATAAAACAAACTATGTAACAATTGTAGACTGAGATGATCAAACTTGGTATTCATAGTTTTTTCATCTGAGGTCATTTAGTGTCTCATTTGAGCAAGTTTGACCAAGAGTCAAATGAAAAAACAAACTTTGACCTAGTATTATGAACTCTAAATGACTTCAAATTGAAAGTTTTGAATACCAAGTTTGTTCTACAAGGCTATCTTTCCATTTGAGAACATCAAACACAAACTTAGATGCTTACAAACTAGTTTTGAACCTAGATTGAGAATACCAAGATTGAGCTCATCAAGATCTACAATCGCTATTTTTTCAAAGAAAGTTTGAAGAAAATGTAGTTCAAATTTCACAAGTGTGTGACATAGTTTCGTAAAAGATATGAGATTTAAGAATTTGTGACTATTGTTTGATAAAACTTTCTCAAATGGGAAAATGAGCTTATGTAACAATTGTATATCTTCTTGAGATGATCAAACTTGGGAGATCATTTAGTGTCTCATTTGACAAGTTTGACCAAGATTTGGTCAACGTGATATGAACCTAAACACTTCAAATTGAAAAGGTTTGAATACCAAGTTTGTTCAACTCATCAAGATCTACAATTGTTGTACTCACTTTGATGCAATCAACAATACATGAAAACATGGACCTAGTGTTTAAATATTTTTGTTAGAAATTAAATATCAAAATAACAATTGTTAATCTCTCAAGAACAATCTTATATAGGCCATTTTTATCTACTCCTCCATATTTAGAAAAACGTTAAGGATTCCAATTGAGGCTAAGTAACCATTAACTCTGTTTATCTCAAATGGAAAAATTTTAATAGATCTAAACCTTGTATTCGAGTTTTTTTTAACTAACAAACCAAGTATCAAATAAAAAAAACAACACTTTGACTCTAGTATTATGAACTCTAAATGACTTTAAATTGAAAAGTTTTGAAACTTATAGAAACAAAATATGTAGACATTGTTTAATTATTTTGTATCAAATAATCCTTCAAAATGGCGGTTTTTTTAATCCTAAGTTAGTTTCATATTACAATTTTATTTTGATCATTTCTCCATCCAAGGTCGTTTGAATAATATCCGGATAATATCCGCTTTTAAATATCCCGGGATACTTATCCGGATTATTATATAAAAATATTTTTTCAAGCCAACAATTAAAACAACGGATATTCATATTTGTTTCGGTCGAATTGATTTTTCATCATCCATACATATTAGGATCTCATTAGCGTATTCTCACCTAAAATAAACTAACTTACAACACTCATTTAATTTTTCTTAACCACAGAAGTGAGTCATATAAGATACGCGTGCCATTCTTTAGAACTACCTATCCTACTCATCGCGTTAGGATTTTTCATTTAACACATATAGACATTTAAGTAAGCTAGCTCACTATATTTATTAGATCTATCTCTCAGGCCATAATTTCAGTGTTTAGTGAGCTCGTAACACCAGGGGTGTTACAGTCTTTCAATAACGGTGAATGTGGTTGACCGTTCTAGAAAAATTGAATAGAACCAATGGTTATTTATTGTCAATAATGCTTCGACGGTTATTCTAATTTTGTGAGAATTAGTTAATCTATTTTTAAAGCGCCTAATAAAGATTAAGACGAAGGTTCTAAAGGAGTGTGTAGGTAATTAGTAAGGCATTTGAGCATGGAATGATCGAGAACATTGCGCTCGTGGCTATATATTAACAAGTGGGGTTCAAACAGGTCTACCATTGGGAACTTTAAAAATCCCATCCTCCGCCTGTGGATCCCAAACAAGTTTAGTCATTATGAAACTTATATAATACTCCCTCTATCCTAGAGAATTCTAGCACAATTTCATATTTTAGTATCTTATAAGTTTAACTAATTATAGATAAAAATATTAATATTTATGATATTAAATAAATATCACAAGATTAGATACAAAATATATTTTCATAATAAATTAATTTGGAGTCATAAATGTGAATATCGTTCACCGAAAATTTGGTGAAATGTGAACCACTTTAACTAGTATGCAATACGTAGTTACATTCTTTTTTGACAGAGGTAGTCCTAACTGAAACTATAAATGCGTTGATAATGAATTCCAAGATGTATTGATTTCCTTATTATATATGTAAGTACGGAGTAATATACTACAGTCAAACCTATTTATAATTTGTGCTAGGAGAACCAAAGCTGCTATACTAGTTTCTTCCGTCCGTAGCTTCAAAAACGATCGAACCACGTGACAGTAACGCCGGAAAATTCAAAGAAGGTCATCTAGAAGCGCGACGACAAATGGCAATGCGGCTCCACCTCTCCAGTCACCGCTATATAAACCCGGCCCGTGCCCAACCTCCTCCAAATCCAAAAAATTCTCCGAACAAACGCTTAAAATCCCTCCAAACCACAACATCACGTGACGGAAACGCAGCCCCAACAAAGATGCTGCTGCTTAACCCGGCGTGCGAGTCGGCGGCGCTGGACAGCATCCGGCATCACCTCCTGGACGAGCCCGCGGCGTCGTCGGCGGTGGCGACCATGAGCGCGAGCGCGAGCGCGGCTCCGCGGCCGGTGTACTGCCGCAGCACGAGCTTCGGCAGCCTGGTGGCGGACCAGTGGAGCGAGTCGCTCCCGTTCCGGCCCGACGACGCCGACGACATGGTGGTCTTCGGCGCGCTCCGCGACGCCTTCTCCCGGGGCTGGCTCCCCGACGGCTCCTTCGCCGCCGTCAAGCCCGAGCCCCTGGCGGCGTCCCCGGGCCGGGACGACTCCCCCTACGAGCACGGATCCTATTCCTCCTACCTTGGTGGCGCGGCTGGCGGCCTTCTTCTCGCGGAGGAGGAGCCTGAGACGCCGACCGAGGCGGCGGCGATGACGCCCGGCGGGAGCGAGGAGGAGGCCGCGGCCTGCCGCCGCGGCGGTGGCCAGCAGGGGGAAGCACTACCGCGGGGTGAGGCAGCGGCCGTGGGGCAAGTTCGCCGCGGAGATCCGGGACCCGGCCAAGAACGGCGCGCGCGTGTGGCTCGGCACGTACGACAGCGCCGAGGACGCCGCCGTGGCCTACGACCGCGCCGCCTACCGCATGCGCGGCTCCCGCGCGCTCCTCAACTTCCCGCTCCGCATCGGCTCCGAGATCGCCGCCGCGGCCGCGGCCGCCGCGACCGCTGCCACTGCCCCTGCCGTGGGAGACAAGCGGGCGTCCCCCGAGCCGACCGCGAGCTCCGACTCTTCTTCCCCTTCATCCTCCTCGTCCTCTGGCTCTGGGACACCAAAGCGGAGGAAGAGAGGCGAGGCCGCTGCCGCGACCATGGCCATGGCCCTTGTCCCACCCCCGCCGGCGCCGGCGCAGGCTCCCGTCCAGCTGACCCTCCCGGCCCATCCATGGTTCGCCGCCGGCCCGGTCCAGCAGCTAGTGAGCTAACTATTGCTGTATCAATGGGATGTGGTTGATGGATTCAGCTCAGTGCAAGAAGTCAAGAACAGAGCAACAAGATGCCCCAAGAAATGCGTGTTATGAGATCGACGAAATCGTCATCAGGATGTTCCTGGTTTGCATCATCGCATGGAATTGGTTCCTCCACGGTCGCTAGTGTGCTGTCCTGAGAAGCTTGTAATGTGGAGAACCGGTTTGTGGCGTCATTGCATTGAATTCGGATGAGTTGAAATCGGAAGCTTCTCTGTGCGAGGCTGATGGTGGTCCTGGTGCAAATTTGCATCAGCATTTCTAGAATGGATATTATTCTTTGTTCTTTGGTGTTCAAAGTGGTTCCTTTGAAATCAGCAGATTCTAGTTCATTGTCTAATTGGAACGTGCACGCTGCTGTTGGCTTGATCCTGATGCAGAGTCCAACACTACCATTTCATTGGACGTTTCCTCATTAATTTTTTGTTTAGTAACCCAACGCACACTAATTGTTGGTACTCAGATATATACAATATATATACTTTACAAAGAATAATTAATCCTTTATATTTACCATTAGCGATCACGCACTTGGCTCGTATAGAATGGTCACATGAGACGAGACGGAGGAAACTGCTGTCAAACTGAAGACGAGCATTTCAAAACCAACCAGACGAGCAGGAGAGCAGCTGCATTCAGATTACAGAATTCAGAGGCGCCGCAGGAAACGGAGCACAAAAGCCGGCACGTGCTAGCCAAAATAAACTAATCGATCCACCACCGTTGCTTTGGCAAATTGTGTGGTGCGATGCTGATGGGTTGGTGGCTCGGTGCAGCATGAGGCAGCAGCATTGGGCACAGCACAAAACAGGCCTAGTTAACCCTTTTTTTTTAATTCAGGCCGGAATGTTAGTATCCTAGCCAATGAGGAAGCGAATTGATTTGAATAATGACCTCGTGCTTATCCATGATTGATGGTAGGGGGTCACGGTTCCACTGAAAATGAGGCGTTAGATGGTGTTTTGTGCTTAACAGCTGGCCTTCAATTTCCGAAGCGTCAAAGGTTTCAAAAGCCCGTAGGATCAGGGCTTGCGTGCGTGCAATGGAAGATGTAGCCGAACTTATCGTCAAAAAAAGAAGAAGATGTAGTCGAACTGAAGACAGCCGAGGTTTCCATTTGCCGACTAGCACATTAATTTATTTGTTTGAGGACATATGACACTGAAAATAAATAAACAGAAAAGCTAGCCGAATCTCAGATGAAACAGTCGGCCGTGCCATGCAATTCTCGTATTCACAGAAATACAAGACATTATCTAAGTAAAAGGCTACACAGTACACAAGATTCGTAGGGATGCAAATAAGATAGCTGATTGCCTTGCTAAAAAGGCAAGACGAGCAAGCATCTCACATTCAGGCCTTTTTTCTTGTCAGCCACTTGCATATCATGCAACTTCTAATATCAAGCTTGTGCAACAAAATAACGATTGGAACATGTCTGTAACATATTTGTGATGCAGCGGAAGTTTTACTTTTCAAAAGAAAAAATAGCGCTTCTGCATTGCATATTGCAGACGAATAGCTGACAACGACGGCAAGGGCATGCCATTGCCATCAGATAAGCGCATGAAGTGATCCAGTCTCGTGCCCTCGCCCCTCTTCCGAAGCAAAGACAAAGAGACGGTCGTAATGATCTTTTCAGCGTCAGCTCTCCAGCAGGTAGTAAACCTCGTTGCCCCGGTCTCACTGCTGATTCAACGTGACGGGCGACAGATGTGGGCACGGCATTAGTAAGATCGACGAGTCCACATGATGCGCACGAGCCGAGAGGATTGATTATTGATGTGATGACGCCTTCTAGAACAGACAGCGACCGGTGGCAGCCAGGCATCGGCTGCCGAGGGTTTTATCGAGCGTGTTCTGGCCGTCGATGACCCGGGGCCTTTCACACTCTTTTTCACTCCCCCTTGTAGGAAGAGGAGTAAGCAAGATCCTTTTACACTCCTGCAGAGCAATGGATCTCGAGACTCCTGCAGAGCAGGTCAAGAACAAGCAGCGTCCGAATCAGCCCGTGCAAAAGCAGGGTATGCCGCCGAGTCAGCTTGTTGACGCTATCTTGACGCGGAACGTGGTTGCCCGGGTAAGGGTAACGCACGGTGGCGCTCCGGCGACCACGACTCCGCGAGTGTCCGTCCCGTCGGGGAAACACGTCGAAAGTTGCAGCAACCAGGCCGCCGCCGTCGTGGCAGTAACCTTTCCTAGGGCTCTCTAGGAGCGGCACGGCGCGTCCAACGCTGTTGACACTAGGGTGGGGCTGCCTAGCTACTTGCGTCCCTGCCTCACTGCCTGGTGCGGCCGTTGGCTGTTAGGAATTTCTCCTTCCCTCTTTCCCGGGCCATCACGGACGTATCCAGGAGTTCATGGGCCTCAATTCAAAGCCCATAGAGACCAGTGCACATAAACGTAAGCAAAATCCCACAACTACAGAAACCAGCGTACATAATCTCTGTCAACTGTGAGCCGATCAGTGTTCAGTCGTGCTCTGCTGTGCTGAACAAAATTCCCTGGACTTGGGCACCACCGTTCAGGACTTCATTCGTCAGCTTTCATGCTGTCAAACCGCAAAGCTCATCGGCGGATCTGTAAAATTTTGCTTCGTGTCTCAGTAAACGCCAACCGCCTTACCAGACGCTCCAACTTTTTCGGCCCTCTTCGTTTCAGCTGAAAAATGAGGCTGAAAAATATTATTTGCTAATTTATAGTGAAAAAAATACTATATCATATCCGATAAATTCCTCCATCGCGATAGACGTCTCTCTCTCCTCTCCTCCGTCGTCATCCCCAAATCGCAGACTGCATGCACCAAAATGCGCTTTCGGAGCCGCTGCTCGTACGTAGACGACCAATCATTCATACGGCTTCGTCCAACGGCTTTGGTAACTAAAAAAGGGGGGCCCGTCGCAAAAGCAGGCGCACTGAGCGCGAAAGCAAAGCGGAGGAACAGGGAAACAGTGGGAGATGACACGATGGCTCTAGAGGGCCTCGCTACCGATAAGCTAGTATTGTATATGGTACTAGTATGGCTCATCCTCGGTTTCCTTAACCATGAATATTTAGATCCCCTGTTGTTCAAAGGAATTTTAGTATACATTTGGATCCTTCGTGCGAGATTAAGGAGATCGTCCTCTCTCATCCTCCTCGCTTTCGAGCCGACAGCCCACGATTCGAATTTTTTAACGTGTGCAAGGAATTAAGGAAAAGGCCCACAGACATGCTTGAGTCGTTGTTGGAATGTTGGATTAGGATGATGATGATGACTACCTTTTGTGCTTGTGTTCAATTGGATGTCTACCGTGTGCAACGATAATTTGGACTCCTCGTGGAGTGCTAGAACCACTGGCGCGCAGAACCTTGACTTGACCTCTGGCTAACACGTGCACAATCAGCATATATTCAGTTCAAATTAATACGAGGACACCTGTGCATGGAGTAATCCTCACCGTTCAATTCAGCTGATGCACGCGCCTTCGGCCTTAACCCATAAGCCATAGCCCATAGCAGTGTTAAACTGTTGGTCAATTCGACAGACATACTTTGAGGATGATGACCTGTTCACAATGTTAGATCATACATACGGCGTTTAGTATTCTCATATGCACAGATCGAGTGTTCGCTCGTACTGACACGAGTCAGCTTACAACAGCAACACGCAGTTGACACTAGGTACCATATATGGCCATGCAGCCCGAGCCCGGCAGCCTAGCACGAGGCCCGTTTTTTTGGCCCCGCTCAAGCACGGCCCGGCCCGGTGGCGAGCGGGTCCGGGCTGGCACGGCCCGGAGGAGCAGGCCGTGCCTGGGCCTTACCCCAGGCACGTGGGCCGGAACGGCATGGCCCGCTCCATAGCGCACGGCCCGATGGCGGCTCGGCCAGCCGGCCTGCTCCCTTAGCCGCCCCGCCCCCACCCCCTGATCCCTAACTCCCTTCCCATCCCCCCTCCGCATCCCTCTGCAGCCTCCCGCAGGTGCGACGCCGCTGCTCCCTCCGCATCCCTCCCGCAGACGTGACGCCGCAGCCTCTCCCCCTCCGGCATCACTCATGGCAGCCAGAGGGCAGTAGCTTCTCCCCTCGCATCCCTCGCGACGGTCTGGATCTGGCCCCGGATCTGTTGCCGCCGGGTGTTGCTGTGGGGACGCCCTCCTCCCTCGGCCACGGCGCGCGGCGCGATGCAGCGCCCACGTGGACGCCCCCTCCCCGCCTCCACTCCGGCGCCCGCGACGGCGGAGCATTCCGAGGGCTGCAGAGACCCGGCGGGCGCGTTCGGGTGGAGATCCGGAGCACCGTGCTCCTAACTCCCTTCCCCTCCCACCTCTGCGCCACGGACGCCGATGCCCCTCCATCTCCTCGCCGGTGTCAAGGACCCCAAGGGCAAGGTCGTCCGGCGCAACTTCATCTCCGGCTGCTCGCGCTTCCTCCCCTTCCCCCTCTCTCTGGCTGCTCGCGCTTCATCGTGGGCCCGGCCGGCCCGACATTTGGATGGCCGTGCTTCTCGCCGGCCCGCTCGAGCAACGGCCCAAAGAAAGCCGCGTTCGGGCCGTGGGTCGGCACGGTGCCCGCCTCGGCACGGCCCGGTAGGCACAACGTGTCGTGCCGGCCCGAACCCCATCGGGCCATGCCTGGCACGGGCCCGTGCCGTGCCGGGCCGGGCCGGCCCGTTGGACATCTATACTGGGTACTCAGCTGGAGTGAGCTGGTAATCAATCAGCAAAGCAGCAGAGGTACGTGGATGGCTTTGGGATTCTGTCTGGTGCACCCACCGAAGCCTAAAAAAAACGCCACGCATTTGATACGCGTAAGCTCCATATGAATAGGCGCGATGCCCCTCCTTTTCCCACCACCTTCCCGTCTTCGCTGATCCCGTCCATCGCCTTTCTCCTCTTCCATGTCCTCCTTTCTATACCTTGTTAAGTGCGTGTTCATAACCAACGCACCATCAAGATGATCGACGCCGATAAGTACACTCCCTCGAATGCTGCTGCTGCTACTACTACTAAACCCTCCTAAACCTACTCGGCAGCTTCTCTCCACTGCTCGCCTGATCTCCTCGCATAATCTAGCTTGCAGCTTAGCGCCTTAGCCTCGAAGCAAGATCGAATGGGAGCCGCCTCGTCGCGGGAAGGGGACGCG